TTATTTATTTGTTTGTTTTAATACAGTTTATTGTCAAATTGGCTCACATACAAACAACACTCAGTGGTCATCCCAACAGGTGACTTCCTCAATGCCCATCACCTAGTTTCCCTCTCCCCCATGCTCCCATCGACCCTCAGTTTGTTCTCTGTATTTAAGAGTCTTTTGTGGTTTGCCTCCCACTGTCTCTGTTTGTAACTGTTTTTTTTCCTCCCCTTTCCATTCCCCATGGACTTCTGTTCAGTTTCTCAAGTTGCGCATATGAGTGAAAGCCATATGATATCTCTCCTTCTCTGACTTATTTCACTCAGTATAATACCTTCCAGTTCCATACATGTCACTGCAAATGGCATGATTTCATTCGTTCTCATTGCCGAGTAGTTATTTCATTGCATCTATAAACCGGATCTTCTTTATCCATTCATAAGTTGGTGGCCATTTAGGCTCTTTCCATAATTTTGCTGCTGTTGAAAGTGCTGCTATAAACACTGGAGTACATGTGCCTCTATGCATCAGCACTCCTGTATCCCATAGGTAAATTCCTAGCAGTGCTATTGCTGGGTCACAGGGGAGTTCTAGTGTTAATTTTTTGAGGGACCTCCACACTGCTTTCTAGAGTGGCTGCACCAGTTTGCATTCCTGCCAACAGGGTGAGGTGGCTCCTCAGTGTAACTAACCCCAAGTTTAAAATCAACTTCTTGATTTTCACAGCAGGAATTTACGGTTTTGATTGGGGTTGCACAGAATTAACAAATTTGGGCCTAAATTAAAACTGTTACAGTACTAAGTCCTTTCAGAGAGGACTGTGCCATTCTTTCATTGTAGATTCCATAGCTCTTTAATTCCTTCAGTAAAGTTTCGCGTATAGATGTGTGCATACATTAGGTCAAAAATTTCTTGTCAGGATAAAAGATTGACTGGGTTTTGAAGAAATTATAAATAAAACCTATTGCTAGAATAGAAGATATTGATTTTTAGGCATTTATCTCATCTGATACCACAGTAGCTTTTCAGTTGATTTACTTAAGTTTCCTGGGAAGGAAACATCTACCTAGTAAGCAAAAACAATCAAAATGTTGCCCTTTCCATAAATTTACTTTCAATCCTACCTTTCTACAACATCCTAGAAGCATAACAATTAAAATACATTACATGTCTTTTTCATACACTTACCAAACAATAAAATGGTTAAGAAAGACAAATCAGAATCCATTGAATAAATCTAGCTTTTTAAATTTTTTCCAAAGTGAATACAGGTGCGACATACCTGGCCAGTACTGAAGATCTGAACAAATACTTTTAAGAGTTCTTGAATGTTGTCTGTACAGGCAAGAGGAACGTAAAGTACTAAACATATCTAAGTAACCTGGAGGAAAATTGAAAAAAGTAAATTTTCTAGTTACCAAGCTAAAAGTCATGAACTACAGTAATTTTACCAAATATAAGAAAAACAAAAATATGAGTTTAGCCTTTTATTTGTTCATATGGCTTTGCTTTGAAGAGTTTCTAAAAGCACTGCTAACCTAATTACATTTCTTCCCGACTGTCTTGTCAATCACTTATCCCTTTGATTATCTTTTTTACCTGGTAGATGGACCCTGTCTGCCAATGAAATTAAATTCAAACCAAAAGGTAACAGATAATATATGCTGAGCTAATGCTCCTGTTAGTCAAAAGCACAAAAAGAACTGCTATTTCCTAGAGACAATTTCAAACACTCAAATGAATAATGTGATGAGTAAACACTGTAAAGCAGGAGCACGGGAATCTTTGTCTCTCAAAGCTCCAGGTCACTGGGTACAAACAGACTTCTTTCCACAGCTGCAAGCCAGGAATGCTGGTGATCCTTGTAACTCCTACTGTTGACTAATGGGCCCATCACACTTTAAATCCATGAGCCAAGGGGAAAAGGAAACAGCAGCAATAGAAACTGATTCTTATCTATGCCTAGATCCCAAGGAAGAGTTCAGGAATGTTTCTAGGAATCCTATAGTCACATCAAGAAACTCCTTCTGAATACCTACCTCTCCCTGCCTAAGCCAAGAACACAGCTGTCAGGAACAGGAACAACTTTAAAAGGAAATGCAAATACACAAGCCAAAGGAGCAAAGGTAATACTACTACTACCCTACCTCAATGATAGGAACAAAAATTTAACTCCGCTGGACACTTACTATGGGCCAAGGAGTGAAGTCCTTTGGGCTAAGTAAACTAGTTTGATTCTTTCATTTGATCCTACAAAGTGAGATAAGGAGTTCTTCCTCAGGCTTCATATGAGGAAACAGCAGTGTAGAGGAATGAAGTAAATGCCACAGGTCCTCAGTCTCAGGACTGAGTTTGATCCTGGTCTACTCCTCACCCTTAACCACTAAGCCTCGGGACTTCTCTGAGGAAGGACGTAGTAGAGCGTAAAAAATAAGAGAAGCAGATTTTTACTCCAAGCCCCCAAGCTCAAAAAGTTCACCTTTTCCTCACAACCCTTATATGAAATAAAGGCAAAAATACAATGAAGAATTAGTAAATGAATTCAGGATATCCAACCTACAGCTTCAAATCAATCCTTTATCACAAAACAATTTAAACCTGAACTTCTGTGTTATAGTTTGTACTCATTTTTTAACATATGTTCTTCCATCAATATAAAACAAGTATTTTTTTTGTCAGGTTTTTAAAATTCATTTTGAGAGACACAAGGAGAGGGAGAGGTGGAGAAGAAGGGGGAGAGAGACAGCATGAGACAGAGAGAGAGAGAGAGAGAGAGAGAGAGAGGGAGAGAGAATCCCAAGTATGCTCTACATATTCAGCACAGAGTCTGACACAGGGCTCAATCTCATGAACTGTGAGATCATGACCTGAGCTGAAATCAAGGCTCAGACGCTAACCAACTGAACTATCAACATGCCACTAAAACAAGTATTTTTGATAAGGTCCAAGATTCACTGTTCAGGTATCATCCAAAAAGAAATTCATGAAGCAGAAATCCTTTTAACAAACTACCCACTCATTATAATACTGGATTGTTACAAGATTTAAATAAGAAAATATACACACATTCTATTCAAAAAAGGACGATAACTATTTCTTCAAGGTATTCTCAGAAATTAGTTTGGCAACTGGAATCCAATAAGGTTTGTCACCTAAAATTAAAATAACATTTCACTATTATAAAATCTGTTTTGTATGCTATATTACATCTTGGGACGAATAAAGAACCCTAATGGAAAAACCAGGAATTTAGTAATTTGGTAGTCTACATACAGTCTACAGTTTCATTAAAGGTATCATACCAATGTTCATTTCTCAGTTTTGATGAATGCACCATGGTTAAGTAAGCAGTTACCATTAGGGGAAGTCAACTGAAGGATATATAGGAACTCGGTACTATTTTCCAACTTCTCTATAAATATAAAATTACTTCAATATGAAAAGTTATAAAAGAAAGAACAAACAAACTCAGGAAAGAACCCGACACACAGTAAACATTAATAAATGCGATCTGCTGGGGCGCTTGGGTGGCTTGGTCAGTTAAGGGTCCTACTCTCACTTTCTGCTCAGGTCATGATCTTAGTTTCGTGGGTTCGAGCCCTGCATTGGACTCTGCACTGACGGTGTGGAGCCTACTTGGGATTCTCTCTTTCTCTCTCTCTGCTCCTCCCCTCGTCACACTGTTTCTGACTTTCTAAAAATAAATAAATAAACAACATTAAAAAGAAATAAAAGCTACGTGTTAAACCATTAATAACAACTGCTTACTTACATTGAAACAAAAAACACACTAACTTACCATATTTATTTTCAAAGAAGGACTGTGCGGAGACATGAGATGTATGCCAATGGGAAGAGACGCTCTTGCCTTTACAAAATCCAGGAAGTAGACGGTCTACCAGTTGATCAATCTGTCCAATTTTTAATTCAGATAATCCAAGGTCTCTTAAATTAAGTACAGGCTGGAAAGGAGTCAACCAAGATTGCATTATTCTCAAGATATTTAACTCAAAGAATTCTTATCAGTTGAAATAATATGGATATTCAAAGTGTAACAAATGTATTGATTTCTCTCCTCATATTTAAAAACTAAATTGGTACAATATTTTTATAGTTCTAGTTTTATGGAGATCAATCATGTGAAGTTTGACAAAGGTTAAAAATACTGGGGTGCCCGGTGGCTTAGTCGGTTGAGCGTCCGACTTTCGCTCAAGTCATGATCTCGCGGTTCGTGGGTTCCAGCCCCACGTCGGGCTCTGTGCTGACTGCCAGCTCAGAGCTTGGAGCCTGTTTCAGAGTCTGTGACTCTCTCTCTCTCTCTCTGACCCTCCCCTACTCACGCTGTCTCTCTCTCTCTCCTAGAAATAAATAAAACATTAAAAAAAAAAAAAACAACAACCTTTTTTCCAATGGTATTATAAAGTTATGGACATTTAAAGCCTCCTCCAGGGGCGCCTGGGTGGCTTAGTCGGTTTAGCGTCCGACTTTCGCTTAGGTCATGTTCTCGCGGTTCGTGGGTTCGAGCCCCGCGTCGGGCTCTGTGCTGACTGCCAGCTCAGAGCCTGGAGCCTGTTTCAGTCCGTGACTCCCTCTCTCTCTGACCCTCCCCTGCTCACGCTGTCTCTCTCTCTCCCAGAAATAAATAAAAATATTTTAAAAAAATGTTTAAAAAAAAAATAAAGCCTCCTCCAATTTCTAATAAACAAAAGCCCATTTGATTAAAAAAAGGGGGGAGGGTATGCTGTTACTAGAGGACATCTCACTCCTCTGGCCTCATTGCTGAGATCCTTCTTTGAGCTAAGAAATTTAATAGTTACCCATACCTAATAAGGAGGGAAATTGAACAAGGTGAAAAATGTGTGAAAATCAGTTTAGAAAATAAATTCACATTAAAACAGTTCTCAACTACCTACAGATAGGATAGATATGAATTATTTTCCTGTCCATGGGAGCTATTAAGCAGAAATGGGAAAAATAAACACTGAAGTATCAGCTTTTTTTTTTTTTTTCTTCACTTCTGTAGGCTGTGGGACCAAACTGAATAGAGTAATGCTTCCTATCCAAACATCTCCCACAGCCTGGGCTTCAATGTTCCAAAGTTTAATTAGCAGAACAGGGGAGCTGCCCTGAACTGAACTCAACACTTTGGAAATCAAGTAACAGCTTCTGATGACTGATGTGAAGTTAGATACATACAATTGCACCCACAAAAAAATAAAGTTAGATCCATGGATTATAAAGCTCTGGATTAATATCCAGGGGTTTGTCAATCACTAGCTCTGTGACAAGACATTCATATTCTTTACTTTTTTAAATGTTTATTTTTGAGAGAGAAAGAGATACAGCTGTGAGTAAGAGAGTGGCAAAAAGAGAGGAAGACAGAGAATCCAAAGACGGCTTCAGGTTCTGAGCTGTCACAGAGCCCCATGAGGGGCCTGAACTCACAAACTGAGAGATCATGACCTGAGCCATAGTCAGATGCCTAACCAAACTACCAGGGCACGCTGACAAGTCATTCATGTTATTAGAATCCATTTCCTCATTGGTAAAATGATTATGAAATATGCCTACTTCACAACAAGATAGTATGGATTAATAGAAAAGATCATGCCTTGCTCATCTGAAATATCCTAACAGATATAGGAAGATAGTGAAAGGCAGGAGGAAGTAAAATATTTAAAGGTGCTCCTTAGAGGCGCCTGGGTGGCCCAGTCGGTTAAGCGTCTGACTTCGGCTCAGGTCATGATCTCACAGTACGTGGGTTCAAGCCCCATGTCGGGGTCTGTGCTGACAGCCTGGAGCCTGTGCTCAAAGCCTGGAGCCTGCTTCATATTCTGTGTCTCCCTCTCTCTCTCTGACCCTCCCTTGCTCATTCTGTCTCTCTCTCTTTCTCAGAAATAAATAAAAAATTAAAAATTAAAAAAAATAAACAACGGTGCTCTTTAAACTACTGGGGCACCTGGGTGGCTCAGTCACTTCAGCATCCAACTCCTTTTTTTCTTAATTTATTATTTAATTTACATCCACCTTAGTTAGCATAAAGTGCAACAATGATTTCAGGAGTAGATTCCTTAATGCCCCTTATCCATTTAGCCCACCCATCTTCCCACAACCCCTCCAGTAACCTTCTGTTTGTTTTCTATATTTAAGAGTCTCTTGGAGTGCCTGGGTGGCTCAGTCGGTTGAACATCTGACTTTGGCTCAGGTCATGATCTCATGGTTCATGGGTTCGAGCCCCGTATCGGACTCTGTGCTAATAACTAGCGCAGAGCCTGAAGCCAGTTTTGGATTCTGTATCTCCCTCTCTCTGACCCTCCCCTGCTCTCAGAATTAAATTTAAAAAAAAAAATTAAAAAATTTAAACATTTAAAATAAGAGTCTCTTATGTTTGGTCTCCCTCCTGGTTTTTATATTCTTTTTGCTCCCTTCTCTTATGTTGATCTGTTTAGTATGTTAAATTCGTCATACAAATAAAGTCATATGATGTTTGTCTTTCTCTAATTTTGCTTAACACAATACCCTCCAGTTCCATCCATGTAATTGCAAATGGCAAGATTAATGAATTCTCTTCGACTGCTTGTGTAATACTCCACTGTATATATACACCACTTCTTATTGATTCATCAGCTGATGGACATTTGGACTTTTTCTGTATTTTGGCTATTGTTGATAGCATTGCTATAAACATTGGCGAACATGTGTTCCTATTAATCAGTACTCCTTTAACCTTTGAATAAATTCCTACTACTACTATTGCTGGATTGTAGGGTAATTCTATTTTTAATTTCTTGAAGAACCTCCACACTGTTTTCCAGAGAGGTTGCACCAGTTTGCATCCCCTCCAACAGTGTAAGAGAGTTCCTGTTTCTCCGCATTCTTGCCAACATCTGTTGTTGTCTAAATTGTTAATGTTAGCCATTCTGACAGGTGTGAGGTGGGACCTCATCGTGGTTTTGATTTGTATTTCCCTGATGATGAGTTATGTTGGGCATTTTTTCATATCTCTGTGTATCATCTGTTAAACATCCAACTCTTGATTTTGGCTCAGGTCATAATCTCATAGTTGGTGAGATCAAGCCCAAGATTTGCACTCACAGCATGGAGCCTGCTTGCGATTCTCTTTGCCCCTCCCCTGCTCACAGGCCCACGCTTGTTCTCTCAAAAGTAAACTTAAAAAAAAGTGCTCTTTACACTACTAAAAACAATAGAAAGGATATTATTACAATGAAAACAAAACAACAATATTCAAAAGCTACTTTTCAAAAGTTACCTTTAAAAAGAACGGGAAGCCAAAAAGTCTATTTACTTTTTTTTTTCCCAAGTCTATTTACAGTACAAAGATTTCAAGAGGGAAATGCAGATTTGTAACTTAAAATTATTTCCCGTACTTACTGGCTGTCAGGTCCTTGGAATGTAAAGAGAAATATGGTGCATCTAAACACAGCAATTATCATACAACTGAATAACTGATATTACAGGTATTTTTAAAACAAAAACTGGTAACAAAACACAGAGTAACCACTTTCCTACATCAGATAAGCTTCACTGCAGTTAACACCTAATTTGCAAAATGATGGGAACTCTTGGAGTAAAGGGCAAACAAACTATCATCAAAGGGCCTGGAATGTTTGAGAGGTAGTCCAAAGATCAATGACAGAAGAAGAAACTAGAAAGATGGGCCATGGGGCACCTGGCTGGCTCAGTCAGTGCAGCATGTAACTCTTGATCTCAGGGTTGTAAGTGCACGTCCTACACTGGGTACAGTAACTACTTGAAATCTTTTTAAGCACACAAAAAAAGAAATAAAACAGAAGGGAAGGAAGAAAGACAGGCAGGCTATGGTCAAATTGTAAAGTCCCTTGTCTGAATATACTTCTCTAACTAATATGATTAGTTTTGTTTTATACCAAGAACATAGAAGATAAAGATAACAAACTGGGTAAGAAAAGGCTGATGGAAAAAAGAACAGTCTCCTAGCTCCTCTTCATCCTTTTTGTTGGCTCCCTAAACAATGATCTGGGCTGTGTAAATACTGTTTCTTTCCAGCTGGAACAATGTGAAGCTTAGTCAGTAGACAGCCCTGGAGACACTGTAGTAGTGGTTATCTTCCTGGTTCCAGTGTGTCCATTCTGCAGGCTCCTGTCTGCGACGCCCACTGTGATGCTAGCATCTGGCTGCCACTGGTACAGCTTTTCCAAACCCTGGCTCCCACAGCAAACAGTGGCCAACAGTACAGTACCCTGTAGATTTTTCAGTCAGAGACATCCCCATGAGCAGCTTTCCCTGGTAGCCTAGACGGCACATTTCCATCAAGTGCAGCGAGCAGGACACCAGTGATTTCTCTGCCATGCAGTGAGCCAAGGCCATGCCCTCCTCCGGCAAGGTCAGCACAGCAGCCTGTGGGTGGAGGACTCCTCCCAGGATGCTCGATCTCAGTCCCAGGAGTATTAGCCACACCTTATATCTGCTCGTCCTGTAGATTTTAGAGTTATTAGCCAACTCCTACTTACTCCAATCCCATATAAAAATAGGGTTTGAAAAATAGGAAACTACAAAATAACACTAATTTTTTACATTAAAACTTTTACTGCTCAAATGACTACATGGTTTCTCTTTCCTAGTTAGAGCCCCTGATAAAAAGGGGCTAAATCCACTGTAAGCAGAAATACACTGGAATTTGAGAGTAGTTGAGTTCTGGAAATCTTAATTTTGAGGTCCCTGAAACTCTCTCCAGGGGTGAGAGAGGTGGGCATTTTAACAAGGCACTAAATAAATTACTGCAAAGGTTTAAAGAGAATTTAGGGTTGGAGATGTATTTGGGAGTTAACAGCATATATATGAGTATATAGATCTAGATGTCAGGTGAAGATATGAAAATGGGTAACATAACTTAGAAGAATGTGCATAACAATAATTAGATGCAAGGACAAGTGCACACCAAACACTGCAGGGGGTGGAAAAAAAAAGACAAGCCAACAAAACAGAAAGAGAAAACACTATCAACAAGGTAATATCACTCAGTTCAAGGGAGAATTTCGAATCTTGGAGGAGGAGAGAGCGAATCCCAGGCAGGCTCTGCATGACTCAATCTCATAAATCCTGAGATCATGAGTTGAGTAGAAATCAATACTCAGAGTCTTAACTGATTGAGTCACCCAGGCACCCCAGGAGTATTTTGAAAGTAGTAAATGTTCAGTAAGATCAAATGCTCAGGACAAGTTGAATAACATATGGATTTTTTTTTGCAGCCTATATTTAGCACAAAGGAAATCAATGACTTTAGCAAAATCTGTAAAATGGTACAAGTAGTAGCCAAACTATGATGCGATACAGCGTGAATAAAAGTTTAGCAAGTAGTTACCCATTCAGACTGCTATTTCAAGAAGTCTGACAGCAAAGGCATGAAGGAAGGCTCTAACACCTGCATTGTGTGTGTTTGGATGAGCAAGACTTGAAAGCAAAGCCATCTGCATGTCCAAGGTAGATATGAAACTAGACATGAGACTGGATGCTTAAGGAGGAAGAAAAGCTTCTGTACAGTAATAAAGAGCACTCAGTAAAAACGAACAACAGGATTAATGAGGGCATATCACAGATTAAGAAGCCAATTCTGTATTTGACACCATTACTCATAACCTCAACATTGGCCTCTAGAATTCAGCTACTTTTGAAGACCCTGACCTAGCAATTTCATTTAATGACATAGTTCAAAAATTTAGCAACACAAATGGTAAAAGTGGTAATGTTCTAGAAACACAAAATTGGGAACAATATCCAGTAAGGGGATATCATACAATGACCATCCTGAAGTCATTAAAGATGCAGAAAACGAATGGCCTAACAAGTTCATGATGACTATTAAATTAACAAAGCATAATCTAAATCAGCATATGCAGTATGATCCAATTATAAAATTAAAAAGTACCAGAGGAAAAGAGACACGGAATATACATACAAAATGGTAACAGCATTATCTCTGGGGAACAGGATCACCGGGGAATTTTATTTCTTCCACCTACACAGTACTTTCCCAAATTTCTGAAGTGAACATAATACTGCTCTATGCAGCAACTTTGATTCATGTGGTATTTTCATTAGGCAGGCTCTCTAGGACTGTAATTTAGGAGAATGGGATCACCACAGTAGAAAAG